TATTTATAGACATGTCTATATTGCATTTTCTGGATTAATGATTGAGGGCTCAGCATATAGGATGCAGTACCACCTCTGGTCAGGTCTAAGAAAGCATTGGGATCAAGTCAAGCTCAGCAAGCCAGCAAGCATCATTCTTCATGGCTTCTGCTTCAGTTCCTGCCTCAAGGTTCCTGCCCTGACTTCCTTTGATGATGGACTCTGATAAGGAAGTATAAAATGAAATAAACTCTTTCCTCCCCAAGATGCCTTCAGCATGGTGTTTCATCACAGCAAATGAAACCTTAATTCAGACAGGTTGAGATGGGATCAAGTAGTGAGCACCCCTGGGACTCAAAGCTCTTGTTCACAGTCTATAATCTCATTCCTGTCCTGAAGATTCTTTTGCTTATTCAAGTCAATGCATCATGACACTATTCAGAGAACTAGAAGCAATTTTAGGAGAAAGTTGACAGGTCATGTAAGTGCAATGTAAAAATTTAAAATTATTTATACTACACAGAATATTTTTTCCATTTGAAAAAGATTATTTTATTGCCTTTATTTATGTTTATGTGTGTATGTATCTGTGTGTATGTGAGCATGTGAGTGCGGTGCTCTCAGAGGCCAGAAGAGGGCGTTGGATCCCACTAGAGCTTGAGTCGTAGGTGCTTGAGGATGCCCTGACATGGGTGCTGGGAACTGAACTCAGATCCTCTGGAAGAGCAGCAGATGCTCTTAACTGCTGACTATCTCTCCTGCCCCATTTTCCCAGTATAAGACAATTGGAATCAATGTTGGTGTAAGGAGTAAGATAGGATTCCAGCTTTCCTTTTTTCCTTTCAAATTGCTAGTTAATTATCTCAGGTTTTGTATTAAGGTTGTGATTAAAAATGCATACATTACCCAAAACTTTAAAGTGAATATTAGTGAAAACTTGGGGAAAATGGTGGCCTGATTGTGTTTACAGATGTCCTTATTCTGATTAATATTAATTTAGGCCTGATGAAGTCTTACAAGAAATAAACCAGGGAACTAGGAAAAGACTATCTCCCTAAATGAAAGCAGCTGCATTGGGAGGGCTGGGGGGGCAGCATAACTGGGGCCATGAGCAGAGACAGGATAAAAAGAGTGACATATTCTGTGATGGACATGAAATCATCACAGCATTTCCTGACCTGTATTAGTTACTTCCCTATGAGGTCAAGTACTCCCTGGTTATATTAGTTACTTCCCTATGAGGACAGGTATTCCCTGGTTATATTAATTACTTCCCTATGAGGTCAATACCTGGTAGGGGCAACTTGAGGGAAAGTGGGTTCAGTCACATCTGTCATGGCAAGGAGAGCATGGCTGTAGAAGAACATGGTGGCTTCTCACATGGGAGAAACCACAGATTTAACCCTCAATGCTGCTGGGTGACTTGTCTCTGCCATCCAGGTCCCACTTCCTGAAGGTGTGGGAGCCCTCCAAAACCTCGGAGTACTAGGTGTTCAAACACAGAAGCCCATGGGGGGATGGTATTTCAGACTCAAATCATAAAACCAACACAGTATTTATGTGTGTTTGTTTATTTGAGACAGGAGCTGACTATATAGCCCAGCTAATCACTAACTAGCAGCAATCGTCCTGTCTCTGCCTCAGTCTTTTTTTTTTTTTTTTTTGGTTTGAATTTCTCCATCTTCACTTTATTTTTTCATTTACCAACTGAAATGAAGACCATTTTGAATCTTAGAGCTAAAGAAAGCGTTAAAAATTTTAGTGGATAGACCAATTTGAAGAAAGATGTATTTCTGTATGGAGAATGACAGCCATTTTTTTTTTTTTTTAGTTATTTTATATTTACTTTGTGTCTGTGCTTGCATGTGTGTGGATGCTTGCATGCTTCAGGGTGTATGTGGAGGTCAGAGGACAACTTTTAGGAGTGGGTTCTCTCCTTCTCCCATGTGGGTTCTGGGAATTGAACTCAGGTTGTCAGTCAGGCTTGGCAGCAGGCTCCTTTACAGCTGAGCCATCTCACCAGCCTCTTCTTACGACCCCTTGGAAAACACGTACTTTATTTTTACGACAAGCACACAAATAACAAGTGAAAGAGATGGTTTTAGGTGTTTATTATTATTACTTTAAAAAAGCAACTTCCAGGGTATACCATTGTACAGGTTCAGCCCAGTCTCCTACAGCACGGTATGGTGATGACAGATCTTTCATACAATGACTCAGAGACGCTGAACATCCATAACTAAATTACCATAGAAAAAGAGAAGAGTTTAATGTTATGTGCATTCAGAAATCATATTCTAATTCTTTTAAATTGGTTCTCCAAGCATGATAATGTAGCCAGACTCAGATAACTAAGACGACGACTGACCAGAATGCTCCCTTCCCTTCCTCCTGGTGAGTACGGACAGGCTTTATATAGCTTACAATCAAATTCCACCCATTTTACACAGCATTAATTCCTTCTGCTCCTGAACTCTTGTTAAATTATGCTTAACAGACTTTCCACCATCACACTGTGTGCAGGTGGCAAGTGAAGACCACTTCTGCTCCTCCTGAGGGTTCTGGGGAGACCCCAGCCCTGGCTGGAGAGCCAGCATTTCCATTAGTTTATGGGTAGCTTTGTCCCTGGTGCTGGGGAAAGACTGCTCTTATCTGTCTCCCAGAAGTGTGTGCCCAGCTCCAGGCAGGACCCTGGTTGTGAGCCAGCTGTCAGCACAGGGACTGGCTACAGTTTTCAGCAAGGTGTCATTGATGTTGTGTAAACAAGGGCGTCGTCAGCTCAGTAACTATTTGTACATTAGAGCAGTATGGTCATGGGATATCAACAAGCACAGCTTGGTAGAGTAACCTGCCATGAAATATCACTGGCTTTAATAATTTACTACAACTGTTCTTTTTATTCACACCTATAGGACGTGCTTCCATCTGCCATGTGGAATATGAATATATACAACAAAATTTGGCTTTTATATAAAAAACTTCATAAGGACAATAACAAGGGGTCAAACAAATAACACACACAGTTTCCTAATTACAACCACTATCTCCTGTTGCTTACAGGGAATGACACAGAACCGATGAACTTTAAGCCAGGTAGACTTTTCCTGCTCAGAGTAGCCAACTATGAAAGGTAGTAACCTTGTTCAGTTTCTAGAAACTTCTAACCACAATTCTGAATGACCATGGAAGACATACTGGGTCAATTCTAAGGTTAAACCTTGCAAATTCTTCTCAGAATCACCATGTATCAACATTCCTTATTCCTCAGACACTTCACAACAGCCTCTTGGAAAACTGCACAGGGCACAGGGTGGCCTCCTCTTGGGAGCCTGCTGCCTTCCCTGGAGCCCACTTTTATTGGACAGCAATGCCAGCATCTTGGTTTGGACTCTCTAATGGCTGCACAATTGTGCAGCAGTGATGTGGGGGGGGGCTGTTTTGCACTGCCAGCAGTCAAAACAGTTGCCATGAGGGCTCATTGTCAGCATGCTGTGAGCCTGGGGAGCCCATTCTCTTAGGAATGGTTTTCTGGGGCCCAGCAATGTCACCACAGGTGATGGAGACATTCTGACCCTTGCTTAATGAGGGACTATACTAAAAAAGCTTTGTTCTGCAAGCAGATGGTACAGGGCACAGTAAGAGTGAGAGAGGTCACTTGTCGTAAGTCCTGAAAAGCAGGGAATGACAACCACAGGGAGAAGGGCGAGGTCTGAGGTACACTTGGAAAAGTGTCACTTTGGAATTGGCACCACAGATGGGACATCATGGTCACGGACTTAGGTACTCCCAGGTCAGTTTTCCCCAGATAATACCTTTTATGCTGGTGACTCCCCCATTCTCCTCTGCTTCTCTAAGGTAGGGATTGTAAATAGTTTATCTCTGTCAGTTCCAACTGATGACTGACAGGTTATTAGAGCTGTGGTTTGAAATATTGTGGAAACATATCCTCGGGCTAAATTGAGAAGTAGTGCTGAGACTGATTAATAATGTCTGCCTTGGAAACAAGAATTGGTGCGTTTGGAATGCACCACACCTGATGCCTCTATTCTAAGCAAGCTGAAAGAAGGAGGCTAACTTCAGTTCTTACAGGATCTTTGTAGATTGCAGCCCAAAGCACAAAAGCATGTGTTGATTTTATCTTTTGATCCAGGGGAGAGCTGAGAGTTTTAGGAGCCCGAGACAGGAATTTCAGGGCCCATGGGAAACTGAGGGCAGAAGCATGACTCTGGATGGGTTGTACACTGCCTTTGACAATGACCTCTGTCTTAATGGGTGACAATGTCCAGCTTTAACATGAGGTTAAGGGCTCACTGATGAGGCCGCTTCAGAATGACATGGAGGAATGGGGTGGCAGTTTCAGGCAGAGCTTTTCTGTGTTACACACAGGGTGTATTTCCCCCTTGTTTAACAACTGGTAATATTTGAGAGTGCATTGAGAGCCAAGGAGAACTACACCAGCCTCTGCACACAGGGGCCTGTTCCAGAGTGGACTGGGAGCAATTTTCTTATCAAGTCAGGACTACTGTCTCTCAAACTTGGAAATCTGGTCCTTCACTGATGAAGGACCTTGTAATCTCATGTGGAAGGCACCACGTAATCTGCTCTGATCCATGCCAGAGCCAAACCTCAACATTGAAAGTGAATCATTAGCAGGTTGCCTTTGACAATGACTTGGTGGTTTAGGGTCTGTGCCTGGCTGAAGCCACCCACCTCTAGATGTAACAGCTGGATGCTCCTGTCAACGTTTCTCCATCAGTGTTAAGGACTGACTCCACTAATGTCTCAGCATGGCAACCCACCTTTCCCATCGCAAACAATGCTTCCCTCCTCCCTGGGAAACTGGGAGGTTTGGGAAGGAGAATAGAGCATGTGTTCTTATGCAAGACAACCTGCAGACCCCACTGGATACCTGCACCACACCTTTTTGGAGTTGCTGGGTGGTGTCCAGGGGTAAGGATGGCCGGGTTCCCAGTCCAAGAGTCAAGTCATGGAGGAAGGCGGTATTCAGAATCTCAGCCAGGTTATTTCTTATCCAATGCTGCATTCCGTTCTCGGAAATGACTTTCTTCCTGGTCTCCATGGGACACAATCTGGTTGAGAGCATCTTGGCAGTGTAGCCATCTCTGGAACCTTCTTCTAGAGGTGAGGGGTCACAGGCTAGAAATGTGACTTCAATTGTCTCATTGTTTGTCTTTAGGCAGTTCAAAATTTCCATTTTTGTTCTGCCCATCATGACTTTTAAGTCCTGCGAGTCAGTCACCACTCACCACCTTGGGCTGGGAAGACCTTTCTGACAGTAGAGGAGCCTCCTCCTGGAGTTTCTCAGGCAGCCCAGAGCACAGAAGTAGGGTTCTAGTTCTAGACAGAAGGCCTTGGAGGAGGTCTTGAGGGAGG